ACCTAATCCAGTTCATTCTAGACATTTTTAGAATTCACATGTATGGAATGAAGCAATATTTGTTCCATAACAAAAGCTCCATTTCGAAGTGCATAGTTCTCATACTTGTAGTAAAAATGTTAATGAGTGCAGTCTGAAGAAATATTTAAGTGAAAACAAAGCAGGATAGTTTTGTGCACAATAGATTTGTTGTTGTCTAGTAGCATTTAAAAGTTTAAAAAACCCAAAACCAAACACACCCCCATTCCAATTGTGGCCCAGTTCAAAGTTTTGAGGTGTCAACAACAATGTTGGGATGCTATACTTTTCTTCTAATGTTTATATGGGGTTTATTTGCAGGAAAAATCAGTGAGTAAGATTCATCAGGATTTAATCATTCCTTCTGATTCAACCTTCAAGCTCCACAACACTTTTAACTAGTAGCCTTTCCTACCATCCATATCATCATTAAAATGTCTGTTTGAAAGTCAAAATCTAGCTGAAACCTGACATCTTTAGTATGGTGACAAAGTAGAGTAGGGATTGGATCTTTTTTCCTTTGTCTGCCTATCCTTTTCCACCCTGTATTTGGCAAAAGCACTAGCAGAGCTTACTAGATAAAATAAATATAAATGATAATTCCTGCAATTTGGAGTTTAATGAAATATCAGTGTGGCTGAATCCTGTGTGTTTCCACATCAGCTAAATTTATATATACACGTTGAATTTCCCTTATCCGGAAATCCCAGAAATCCAAAACGTTTAGCTACCAGCCACCCACTTCTGCTGTTGGGGAAAGGATAGTCACCCATCTAGTACCCACTGAGTATTTCCTCAAATAGGTTGTTGTGAGTTTTCCAGGCTGTATGGCCATGTTCCAGAAGCATTCTCTCCTGACATTTCGCCTGCATCTATGGCAGGCATCCTCAGAGGTTGTGAGATCTGCTGGAAACTAGGAAAATGGGGTTTATATATCTGTGGAATGTCCAGGGTGGGCTAATCACCCCCAACAAAGAATTCCCCCAGACAGTAAGATGCCAGACCTTGAAACCGCTAGGCCATTAAATGCTAATCAAGGTGGCCAATTAAAACATTCGCACCTACCTCATACAGACAAGGGTTCTTTCTCCCACCAACAAACCTACAACCTCTGAGGATGCCATAGATGCAGGCAAAGCATCAGGAGAGAATGCTTTTGGAACATGACCATACATCTTGGAAAACTCACAACAACCCAGTGATTCCAGCCATGAAAAACTTTGACAATATATTTTTCTCAAACAGCTTTGAAAGGAGAAAGAGAACAGAGGGAAGGAGAAGGACTCTACTTACAAAGGCACTATGAAAAGCAGACATCCCAGACGCTTACTCACATGCCTTCTGCCAGCCAATAGCAACATATGGGCACCTTGGAAATGGGCTGCAAGGGCAAGCGCAGAGCAATCCCATTAACCAGCACTTGTATCCAGCCCTGAATGAAAAAGACTCATGAGGTTGGGGTGGAAGGATTTCCCCTCTCTTCCTGGTTACTTTGCTGACAACCAAGACCTGCCTTATTTAAGGCTTTATGGATTATAATCGACACTTTGAATTTTGCCTGGAAATGGATAGGCACAATAGAGCTGTAGCCAGACCCAGTTAATAATCTGGCTGCTCATCTTTGGACTAGCTGAGGTTTCTAAATAACCTTCAAAGGCAGCTCCACAGAGGGCATGTACAGTAATACAAACAGGATGTAACTAAGGCATGTGTCATCATGGTCAGATCTGACATCTCTAGGAACAGGTGTGGCTGGCCCATAAGCCTGTACATAAGTACACTGGGCCACCACTGAAACCTGAGCTTCCATGTTCTAGGTTAAATTGAGTACTGAGGTCCTGCATCTTCAAGGGAGTGTAACCCCATCTAGCTCAGACTAAATCACTGTTCCCTGATGTAATTTTCAACTGACCAGGGACACCTCTCTAGCATGCCTGAATTAAATTTCCATTTGTTCACCATCATCCAGTCCATTACTGATGTCAAGCTGCAGTTTAAAGTTAAAACAACTTCCTTGGACTGAAGTGGAGTTGGATGTTATCTACATTAGCAATGTCACCAATCCCTCAAACTCCAGGCAGCCTCTCTCTGCAGTTTTATGTCCCTGGTAAGCAGAGTTTATGTCTGCTAGTTAACCAGCTGGGCCAGAACCCAATCCTGAGGGATCCACAAGCCAATGGCCATAAAGCAAGAGTCCCCCACCACCACTTTCTGATTTACTCCTTCAGGAAAGAATTCCCACCACAATGGAGCAGACAGAACAATACCATTGTTGTGGTATGGAAAGTTGTGGAGAGGTTCAGGAGGACCAACAAGGGCACACACACCCCTCCAGTTTCCAGTGTAGGTCCTCCACCATGTAACCAAAGCTGTCTATGTCCCATAATTAGAACCGAAACTAAATTGAAATAGATCTAGATAATGTTTATAATCCAGAAACACCTGGATCTGATGACCACAATACATTTCAGTCCCTTGCTCAAAAATGCAATATTGGAAACTTTCCAACATGGTTGGATGCAGGAAATCTCTTTTTGCAAAAAAAATTATGACTACCTCCCTTTGTCATGATGGACTTCTGTTTTGTTTTAGTGAAGCACTGACCAGTCCACCTACTTAGTTAGCCCCCACCTGGCTTATACACCAATACTGGAAATATAAAATATTCACCATATTCAATGGTCAGAAAGGGTTGCTGCCTAATGTTATACGTTGATGTATGCTTTTAACAGATTCCAACTATAATTAAAGTATATTTTTGTCAGTGTTCACATCTCTGCTTTGTGACCTTGGGCAAGCCACACTTTTTCAGCTTCAGAGGAAGGTAAGGTTAGGCCCGCTCCCAAGAATACCCCAGGATAGGTGCACATCTTGGGGTTGCCACAAGTGAGAATTTATTTGAATGTGCATTTGCATTTATAGTCATCTTATATTAATGTATATGCTTAGCCACTATTCACGTCTTCTGGATTCCTTCCTCCATCTCATCATTTTTCTTTGTTTCTTTCTTTGCATTTATATACATAACACAATATATTTCTATATTTTTAAATATATATCTTAAACTAAAGCACAATGGCAGAAATGACGTGCAGTTCATTAGACCATGACCAAATTATGATGTCAATGTTGCTGGCAGTTGTTTTGCACCATTGCTCAGAGTCAGACTAGTGGCTAGTTTTATATATATTATATGTAAACATGCTATGGTAAACATCCCTTGAAAATGCATTATTGCTGTATAGAGGTATGCTTCCATTTAGTTATTTAGTTTTGAGCAGAAGCTGAATTTTTATGGAAGTGGTTTATCACAGGAGCATGGGGCTTAAAAATAATAAAGCCTTGTATTCCCTTGGCAAAAAGAGAGTGGGTGAGACATATTTGTCTTATCCACTCACTTCTCTCTTTATACTTTCCCTATACCCATTGACACATTTTTTTAAAAACTACACAGAGTATTAGCCCTCTTTTTCATCTTCTATTGTCCAAACCCCTCCCCTTTCAGTCTTTCTGCTCTCTCTTTTCTGTATCTATTCATATGCTTTTGTTTTATCCACTCCCCCCCCCCCCTTTATTGCTTTCTTCTGGCACCCTCTTTGCATACTGCTTTTTCTTTCACTGGTTTTACATGCTTCCTTCCCCCCCCCCCCCCCCCCCCCCCCCCCACACACACACACTGGTACAGTGAGTATTTTTCTACATCAGCAGCTTACTTTCCTTCTGCCTTTGGAAGTGAGGGAGAAGCTTTGCTTTCCAAGTGCAACAGGGAAATGTAGCAAAGTGCCTGTGGTTCAGTTCTTTCTCTAGTCACTTCATCACACAAAAGAGAGAAAACAACTTAAAATTCAGTTTCTGCCTCCTGCAGAATTCTGGGGTTTGTCGTTTAGTGAGGCTGTTAAAGTTTAGGTCCTTCCTAAACTATAAACCTCAGAATTCTGCAGAAGGCAGAAACAAGATTTTAAGTGGATTTTTTTCTCTGGTGTCCTAGTCACTGTGATTATGATAGTCTTAAGCAAATTGTGTGGAATTATGAGTCCTGGTTGTTTGTGAGTGATGCCCTGAAAAGATTCAACAATTCAAAAATTGGAAAATAAATAATACAGTATACTTTCAGTATCCACAAATTCAATTATCTACAGCTTGAAACATTAAAAAAATGAAAACAAACTTTTCAAATATAAGGACCGCCATTCAACAATGCTTTCGTATATATTGGAACTTGAGCATTCATGATTTTTTGGTACCCTTTGGGGATCCTAGAACCAAACATCAGCGGATACCACGTATCCACTATAGCTAATGGGTTGTTGATTCAAGTAGATTATTTTCTCCTTATTTAATGAACCAAAAATACTCCCCCATTTGTTTCTATCTAGAGCCCAATTTTCTTGTTAAGATCTTCCCACACTTAACCTATATAGGCCATTCCAAGCATGGAAATGTTGGCACTTATATTTCATTTTAAACATGTTTCTCCTGGAATTTTTTCCTGTAGATAACTTCCTCCAAGAGACCCATTAACATGACCAAAAGCTATATTGAATTCCTAGTCTCAGCTGAAATAAACCCATTGAATGAATCAGTCTTGTGAAAACACCACTGATGTACATCTCAACGATGCCTGCTTTAGTTGGGTTTAACAATTGGATTTAGGCCCAGATATAGGTGAACATTATTCATCAATGGGCTTGGCATTTTTGTTGCTAACACTAAAACACCCAGGAAATAGCTAGTGACCCAAATCTCCATTTATTGAAATTTAGAATATGATTCACACATGTTAATGTATTGAGCACAATCCAATATTTTAAGTCTAATGGTTTCAGAAGAACAGATTTAAACATGCCCCATCAAAATCTATGGGGCAATGCTTAATTCCGGTTGTTTCATGTAAGTGATTAACCACAACAATTCATTTTCAGAGCATATACGCATATATTACTTTTTTGTAAATATCTGTTTGTATTCTGTTTTTTAAACAGAAACTGAATGAAGGATTGGCTAAACTACGCACAGCAAGAGAAACACCATCTGAATGCAGATGTCCACCAGGTATGTGAAAAACTAACTAGATATTTTAAAGTCTGTAAATATTATCAACAAAATATATGTACTGATTTCCATATACTATTCTGGTTTATATTTGTAAAATGTATGTACATTTTACATCTCTGAAATTAATTGAATTTCTCAGCTGAGGTATGGAACACAAAGTCGACATAATAACTGCATTTTTTCCCTTAAGGTTTCTGTTTGTTGTCTGGATGCTTTTGTTACTCTATAAATGATGCCTTATATAAAGACTACGGGGCATTTGCTTAAATGTTTCTTATCCCTCTTTATTTATTGAACTTGAAAGTAACTTGAGCAAATCTGTTGTGGAAATTGCTTTAATGCACACACATTCATGTTCATCACAGCAAATAAATGAATCGTGTTTTTGCTGTTTTTCTTCAGCGGCATTTTGGAGATTGAATTAATAACTCAACATCTAATTATTTCAGCATGGGAAAAGTATACAAATACTCTGTTTTCCTTTTCTGTAAATATTGTCCATAATATCTGAACAGCATGGAACAAGGTATCTTATATTAGAAATGACTGGGTATCATATGAACAAGGTCACTTTTTAGATGTTGGGATCAAATGTTTCCATATGAGTATCTTTGTTTTGTACAGAAACCAAAGTCCACCGACACATCATTGGTTCATATATTATTTTGTAATGAAAACATCCTGGGGTCTCGTGCTTGGAATAATAACAGGCAAAAGATGGCATGCTAGAAGTTTTGTAACAGAAGGGGACATTGCATTTAGAAAGTTTCTGAAATCATGAGGAAATTATGTTATCCGTTTTGGTCTCAAAAATACATGTAATAATTTAAAATATTAGACACACTTTAAAAATAATAATGTAATCATAGCCCTCTTTGATCAGCACCAGCAAATAAATTGATTGCTGTCTTTATGTCCAATGTCTAGACTGACTTCCTTCAAAGTGAACTAGAATGGTCGAAGCATTTGCCTGAAATACTTTTAAACATGTCAAAATGTCTGTCACAATTGAGGTACCAGAAGTCTAATTCTTAAGTGTACGCTTTGGTGCTTGGAGTTTCTAATTACAGTTTCATGTCCACTTTGCAGTGACATATATATCTATCCAATAGAAAGTCTGCTTTGATTCCTGGAAGAGCAGATGTATACTAGTTACAGTGGAATGGCTTTAATGTTGGCAAACTGCAGGGTCAACTTCAAAGTGCTTGCAAGGCTTGGGCTATTGACACAAACAAAGCATATCTATAGTTGCTGGTGAGGAAGGCACTGAGTCCCACTTGGACAGAGTTATCAGGCAGCCCTGGGGGGAGTTCTGAGTTGCATTTGGATACTTGCAAGCAGCTAATGCTGATACCAGCTGATATTAAGAGACTGGAGTGGCTTAACAATCAAAGTAGGAAATATATTTCCTTGCTAAAAGTCCTCCTTCTTGTCAACTTTATCTCCATCCCATTTACTGGTTCATGAAATGAGTAGGAGGATGAAAAGCAAAAAGGAAAATGCAGACTAAATTGGAAAATAGTTTCTTTGCATATTCACATGCCTCTGATAGACCACTCTTTCCTTGCAGATTGGCATCCTCTAGCCTACATGTTTTGATGAGATCTTGTGTTCTTGTTGCTATCAGAGCCAAACTAAGCAGGGAATTAATTAATTTTATAAAGTACTTAAAGATGCCCATGCTGGGAAATCTGGGCATGAATCACCATTTTACCAAAGTGCATTGACCAATATACACTTGGAGAAGAAGAGAAGCACACAGGTGCTATTGTAGCATGGAGGTGCTAACTGGCAAATGTGCTAAGGGACACATGGGATCTATGGTGTGGTTTTTGGAGCACTGTGTGGTTTATTGAGCAGTGACCAAGCCTCTAGGGGTGTGAAACATTGATCATTGACTAGGAACATTATGGGGAGGATGTTAGGTCAAATGCCAATATAAATGGCAATTTATACGTCAAAACCAAACAGCTAGTCATAAAAAAGTTGCCTTTCCTTGTTGTGACTATAAAACAATCATGTGCACATGCATATGTGTGTTTGCATGTACACAACAAACTTTGGAGGTTGTCTACTTTTGATCAACAGTAATTGACAGAGTACAGTCTAGCAAAGGATGGCCCTAAATCTCAGTTAAAGTTGTCTTAAGTGATATACAATGCCATTCATAAATGCTCTTATTTAAGAATCCTACAAGACTTAGTGGAATGTTATTCCAGATGAATATGTATAGCAGGGGTCAATAATGTGGTACCTTCCAGATGTTTCGGATTACATATCAGCCACGATCCCGGCCTATTAGCCAAGCCAATTTGTATTAATGACAGCTACAGACTAAAAATATTCTATACCAAGATTCAATAGAATAGTTGCACTGATGGAAAACACTTTTCAAATGATCCAAGAGGGGATATTTTTCTCCCCTTTGCTTGCAGCATCTATATGCCTGCACCTGGAGCACCCTCCTTCTTTCTTTGCTGCTCTCAACTTAATCACCTGCAACACTATAAACTCTGCTCTGGAACATTTTAGGGGACTCTGGAGCAGATATTGAGCAGTTGCTTGGATCTGGGTGTTACGGTGGTGGATTTAAGCCCATCTAGATGTATTTGTTGACATCTTCCATCATCACAAGCAGGCAATTAGATCCTGCTTTTGGAACTTGCTCAGAGTCTATCAGATTGCCTGCTCTTGGTGTGTACATATACATGCTTACATTAATGAAGGCACACATACCAGTGGCTAGCTTTCAGCTTTAGCCACTGCTAGCTAAAGTACCACCGATTTTAATGAATTTGCACCACACTTCTTTATGGAAGGCATTATCTGTATAATCAGTATGAATTTAGAAGCAGCCACTCCAAATCGAAATTACATGTTTAATCTTCGGAGATTCAGTTAACAGCAAGTGTGTACAGCTTTTGGTATTACTGACCACAAGAGGGAGCTAATATTATTACCATGGAAACTGAATGACTGAAAATGCTAACTTTGCAATAAATCTGAAATGGGTTTTTATATGTAAAGAATTGATCCAGAATGCTGATCTACAAAATATATCTGATATCGGAAAACAAAGCACTTCATTATTTGGTTATTATTCAGACAGTTTTAAGTTGCCTGTGCTTGGAGTATACATGGTTTGTATACAATTTGTTTTGCATGCTATAACTTTATCTTTTTCAGAATCAGTACAATATAGCTGATAGAAATATGATTGCTGGCTGATACATAATTGTTGTTATCATTAGTAAAGACAAATTTGATATTATGACAAAGGCTTTTTTTAAGTACAGCAGAGTCAATGTTTACTACAGATTGGATATTAGCCAGTTTCATAGAAAAGATTTGTTTCCTTTGACCTTTCTTTTGGATGTAATAGTGAATTTGCAGGTAATTTCTGCTCAGCAAGAGGCTGTGTTTTACATCTTGCATTGAAGCACTACACTGGACAAACGAAGCTAAATCCAAAGATCATATTCCGTCTCTTACTTGGTAGAATTGTGGTACTTCTATAACTGTATATATTCGTGCAAGCACTTTATAACTAGTACAAGCGATGGGGTAATTTACCACACCATGATTCCTGCAGCCTCAAAAGTGAGATCTAAAATAAAATCATAAGTGGAGAATTCTACACTCACGGTTCTGGGAAAAAAAATTAAATGCAAAACATGTTTGAGGACAAAAGGGCTTGAACATTTTAAAAAGGTTTAGAATTGAGATAGATGAAGTTAGGTTCTCCTGTTGTTGTTGTTGGACTGTAGCCCCTGTTTGGTCACATCTGGTTTAAAAGGAGAGAATCGAGTCTTTCTTTCTCTCCAAAGAAATCCATGCCAGTTTTTCTTATTTGTCTGCCCTTTACAACTCAGAACTGATTTGCAAAACATTTCATCATGTTCTACTTGGGCAGTCCCTCTCTTGAGCAGAAGAATGAGAAAAACTGCAGAACTGGCTAACTTACAATACTGTGTTAATTTGTTCCTTCCCTTTCTGATGTGAGGCCCCATGCATTACCGTATCCAAAGGGTCAGTTTACGGAGTTCCCCTTCATGTTTCAAAAATCTACCTGCACTTGGGAGTGAGGTGAAAGAAGTTTGGCATCTGGACAGTATTTGGAAGAAATATATTTCCATTCTATGGAGTAGAGCAGAAGTAGGAACTGCATGGGAGCAGCAGTCAATTCTTTCCCCTCAACCCCCCCCCCCCCCCCAATTACTCCCATGGTCTTCAGTGCTCACAAGCCTAAACATCTCTGGCTTCATCTGCTGCCCTAATCAAAATGACAGCTGCAAGTGGCACCATGCCACTTCAATCACCGTTTTACAAGAGACTGTTATGAAAATGTAGATTTTGGGAGTAATTCAGGCTTATCTTACCTCTCTTATACAAGTACCCAGGCCATTCAGGACAATTTTATACCTCCCTGCTACTTGCAGATATTAATTCAGCTACAACCTACAATGTTACAAAGTTCTATGCAGCAGCATACAAAATTCGTCAGGGAATGACTACTCCCAAAGGTTAACTGTGTGTCCAGTAATCTTCTTCTCTGAATCTACAATTTGGTGATGGATCTGGGCATTATATGTTTTTACCTTGTTTCCCCTTCCCTTCTGCTCCCTCACCCATATTGTGCTTCAGTCGTTATATTTATATTTTTAATGTACCAAACATACCAAGTTTGTATGAAAATGTGACTATTTTCTGTGCTGGTCAATGACCGAAATAAATGATTTTGGGAGTAAGGCCCTTGAAAATGTTGCATTTTAAAAGGGGGGTTGAGGTTTAGGGGGCTGGCTATGGATCTGGAGAGATGGAAACATGAAAATATTTCGTTGCTGGGCCAGATTGCAATATTAAAAATGAATATTCTCCCTAAGCTCCTCTTCCTCTTCCGGGCATTACCAATAATTAGGAATGACTATTTATTCAAAAAATGGAATAAAGAAATTACCAAATTTATATGGAGAAACGGAAAACCAAGGATGAACTAT